TTGTCGAGCAGCATTTTGGATAGGACGTTTATTTCTTAACGTTGGTCCTCTGATGGTATTGTGAGTCTACGGATTCTATCTGCAAGACCTTGTATTAATTCTCCTTTTACTGTAAATGGATGAGCTGAGTGATAACCAAGGAAATTTCCAGAGTGTGTTGTTTTTCTATGTAGCGTCATTTTTATGCTGCCATCTGTTGCTCTTTGTATTTTGCAGCCTAACGTAGGCAGTCTCATAATTTCATTCTCTATTTCTACAGTGAATTTAATTGAGTCAACATGACTGTTTATGTGTGAGATGAATTTCTCAACATCGTTTTCCTCTATTATTACTAACGTGTCGTCCACATATCTCTACCAACATTTCATTGATAACCTGAATGGTTTAAGTGCATTCTCTTCCCGAAAATCTATGAATATGTCAGCTATTATTGGTGAGATGGGCGATCCCATGGCAACTCCTTCATTTCGTTGGTGTATTTTTTCACCAAATGTAAAATATGTTGTTGTCAGACAGAATTCCATCCCTTTTATTATCTTTTCTACGGATAACTGTGTCCTGTATTTTGGGCCATTATCTTCTTTTAGTCTCGTTTTCAGTGCATTCATGGCCATTCGAATAGGTATTTTAGTATAGAGCCTGTGTACATCAAAGCTGCCTAGTATTTCCTCTTCCTCTATTTTAGTGGTTTTTAGTTGTCTCACTAATTCAAATCAGTTTACTATTCTAGCCTTTGAGTTATCTCTTGTAGGCCTTAGTATTGTCGAGAGAAATCTTGACAGTATATACGTTGGTGTGTTTCTAAAGTCTACAATCGGTCTTATTGGATATCCTTTATCCAGTTTTATCGCGCCATATATCTTGGGTATTTTACATGATTTTGGCATAATTTCAAACCATTTTGACTTACCAATTACTTCCTTCATCTATCTAACTACCTTTGCTATTTCATTCATTTTGCTTGTGAATGTTTCTGATGATTTCGTCATTGGGGTATAGGGTCCATATTGTAAATGTTAAGTAGTACTGTTGTGTTTTCATTGTCTGCTTAAGTATTGACAATGGCTTTGTCTGCTTTCACGTCTTGGATAAGTCGAATTGATGTCCATCCCCATAGGGGAAGGATATCTCAGAAATCACTACAAGAGTCTTCAAACCTTTAGGAATCGATGTCGTACACAAACTAACAAAGTCACTTCACTCACTTCTATGTCAACCAAAAGGTTCAACAGCGAAAGGAGATAAAACCAACATCATCGACAAAATAAATTGTAACAACAGTGAAAAACACTACAATGGCCAAACTGGACGTCCCCTTCGTCTTCGTATCCACGATCATAAACTAGCCGTCAAAAGATTCGATAACCACTCCCTCATATCACTACATACAGATAACCACGGATATCAATTCGACTGGGACAACCAACGTTCAAATATTAGACAGAGGAAACACCAAAAATACCAGAGAATTTTTAGAAGCCTGGCATTCCAGTGAATCGTCAATCAATAGACACATCCAGATAGACAAAATTTATCAACAGATAAGAAAGAAACCTCACACATTTAGAGGGTCAAAGTTGAAGTCAAGGAAACAATCAGTTCCAATCCAAGTAGCCTAGAGGGTGTGAAAATACACAAAAACAACCAATCAAGTCTGAAGTCACCAGGAGAGATGATTAATAAACTCGTGTAGAAATCTAAAAGCTCACTTTAGCGAATAGAAATATGCGCTGAAGATGTTGTCTAGTAGAGCGATGAAAGCTCTGCAAATAAACTGTCTAGCCAGCTCAGAGAACACAACCACATCAAAATCATCCACCTGAGCTACAAATCTTCTCTATCATATCTAGGAGAGAGATAGACTTAACATCAGAGAAACAAATGAACCAGTATTGCGGCAAAAGACGGAGGCTACGAAAAGATGACAAAGAAACGCGATACGAAGGAAGGGCAGAAGTAAGACAACACGGAAGATCTCTGCAAAATGACGGATTTCATATAAGATGTACATAAATACTGGTTCATTTGCTCTTTTTGACGTCAAATCTATCTCTCTGCTATTTGCTGTTTTTGTGCCGACGAATATCTCCTTATAAACTACTGATAAATTTTGTCGGCAGCCAATGCCACAAAGTTATATACCTTAAATTTTGACGGAATATTAGGCACATCGAAGGAATCTACAAAAATAAAAATGCATCCATCACACTCAGTACCATTGTTTTTCTTCCTTTACTCAAGAAGTGAATAGATGTTCTCCATCCTTTTATTGTTTTTCAACCAGCTCTCTTAGTTTTACAGGCAAATGAAATACACCAAATCACAAGGAAAACAGTTACTGTTTAGTCAATAAATTGTAGCCAATCTAGTCTATAATCTGGTTTTAAGACATTAGCTTCACTGATAATTTCCTCTAACTACACAAAATCAATGATAATGCATGATGATGAACAGAATACGGAAGGCACTAGATGGAAAAATTTCCAGCAGTTTCATAACATATACCGTAGCTAAAACTGTCGGCAACATTAAGTAGAAATTTGAACTGCTCCTGTGGAGCCAGTTAGTTGCATAGGCTGTACAATTAGGTGTGTTTCTCGTCGAATTTCCGAATATCACCCTGTGTGGTTAAGTAAAAGACAAACCAAATCTATTCGCAGCACTATTCTATCTCATCTTGTGGATACCGGACACGAGATCGATGTCAGCCATGCTTTCAGGGTCATTTACCGCATACCTGCGAATCTCAATTTCGCCTTAAGAGTTCGACTACTAAATATTGCTGAGGTTGGCTGTTGGGATCCATATTAATAAGCCTAATTTGTGCGTCCGAAAGAAGTTAGTTCAGACATTATCCTTACCTTGGCCAACCAGGTTTGAGTGATCCTGAATTTTGTGGAATTTTCCTAATTTTATTTGATATTCTATTTTTTCTACTATATGTTTATTATTATAATAATTTAAGCATCTTTAATGAACTGTAATTACATTATCATACTTTATAAATCGATACTATTTGAAAAAACACTAATATTGTCATTGACTATTAATTTAGAATATTCTACGTATATAAACATATATAATTGTAGAGCCAGAAGAGGAAATTCTCGAAAAGTATATTCTTTGCTCAATCACTTCGTGTTTTATAAAATAAGAAGTAATTTGGTTTATGGTGACTAGCAGTGGATTTGTGGATGTATTTTCATCCTATTCGAAACTCGTTAACATGGTATACCTGCATTTCCCAGTGAATGATGATGTTCTCACTGAGATTTAGACTTCTTACCCATCGTTTCACATGCTGAAGCGTTATCCACTACATCCGGCTCTTATGTCAACTAGCATAAGTTATCATATGCTTTAAGTAGATGTTTTAATTTTCCCGCTGATTTATTCGACAGAAATGTTCGGTCACTGCTTTGAGACCTGGCCACTGAAAGTGGAAGACATGAAAAGGCCAACTAGCTGTCTTTGATTAAAAGTGTCTGCGTTCTATCTCCCGTGTGAAGTGGTGTAATAGGGTGAGGAGTATTCAGGTTAGGAGAGATCAATAGACGAGGTTGTGAAGCAGCTGCATCGATTGAGATGGTTACGACATGTGTTACGCATGGCTAGACATTGCCTTTCTCGACCGACAATGTTACTTGATATAGGATGGATCAGGTTGGAAAAGAGATAGCACATAGTGGTCAAACCAAAACATGGCCTCACCAGTCAATGAAATTCACAACAGTAAGTTTGAGCCAGCCAACCACGTAGGGATGTATAGACTTCCTTACTGGTTGGGTTCCTCAGGACGGTAAACACCAATGAAGGCTGGAGATAACTGGTGATATGGCTCAAAGTCATCGTTCTCAATGGCTGACGCAGATGCATCCACTCCTTGTGACTTATAATTTCCCAGTGAAACTATATTGTTCTTCGTTATCACTATTCATGTTTTTGACACCTCTGTTTACTGTCTCTATTGTGCATTTCTTCCACTTTTTTCTCTTGTTTTGTGTGCTCCATGGAGTGTGGCGACTTGTACTGCCCCACATCGGTGCAAAGTTTTACGTTGAAACCAGTCACTCAGCCAGTCGATCACTCAACCCAGTTGATCAGAGGGAAGACTAAAATTGACTTTAAAAGAACAAAGGACAAGTGACGCCCACTGCACAAAAGGTGGGCTGAATAGTCTATTGGATGATAAATTGACATTTGAAACGATGGGTACTAGCTTGGAGTCCCAGTAGGAACATTTCCACTCACTAGAGGATGCAGGTACATTTAGGTAATGTGTCTTGAATAGGACGAAATGTATGTCCCGGATTCCCGTGTTAATCACCATCCATAAAATTATTTCAAATTAATCCTTACAAACATTGTCGAAGCATCCTCACAAGGAATCACTATGTCATTCAATCAAAACTGAATATGAGACCTCTTATTTACCTATCATCAATGTGGGGATCTACAACGATCAACTCAACGGACACCAATCGAATTCTTAACACTTATGTCAGATCATTGCTTCAGTAGGCTTTCTAGAGACTTGGTGTGCTCATTAAGACACGGATTAGCAGCTTCCCACTTCCCTGGGTCGACACTGAAGATTATGTGGTCGGCCGGTAAGGATAGGCACCAAGGGGCTTTAACAGTGCAGTGAACCAGCCAATAATCTATTACCCAATAAACATACAAAGAAAAATGGTGATTCTTTGGATATATACTGACATTATACACTAGTGTCTCAAATGGGACTCCAATGAGAAGCGATGGGTCGTCCTTCTAAGAGTGACAAGTTAAGAGAAAACGAAAGCTTGTAGGTTGTTGTAATGTCAGTTAAAAGTGACAGCAGTGAACCAAATGCGCTGGGTATTCATTGATGCCAAAGTCCTATTTTCCATTGGGAACGCCTTTAAGCAATAATATCCTCATCCTGTTACACATTTAAAAAAAATAAAAATAAAAAATGGGTCCAAAGCGTCCATTTCAAGGCAGAATACATTTCAACTTACCAGTATACCAACCATGATGTCTATCCACATTCCACTGCATAGTATCTAAACATTCTATGCCATGAATTAATTTTTCATTAGAAGTATCAGGCGTTTTATCTTCTTTCATGACTATTTAACCATTATGATGAAAAGTGTTTTGTAAATTACATTAACTTGTAATTTTGTTTATCTTCCTTATTTTTTTGTTTTATTTTGTTTCGTTTTTTTCACTTCAAATTGATTGACTAATACGATATAACTTCCGAAAATTAGTAAAATAAATTGAACATTGAACATGTGGTGTACGCGTGAATATGCTTCCATTGAACATTGTATTTTCTCTACATTATTTAGGTCATACACAAATAAGGTTAATTAATATATTTTCTATGTATTTATTTATTTATATAGAGAGGGATTAAACAACCAATCAGAAGTAAGGACGCATCCGATTGGTCTGTCTGAAATTCACAAGAGAAATGTCAGTATACGTACGAATGAAATAAACAATATAATGACGACACTGAATGTATATCCTGTATATAATTCGATTATCTTTTTGCGTTGTTTATCATTGCTAACGTAATTTTGCTCACGTTCGGCAAGAAACAAGTCTTCCACTTCAATGATCATGATCATAATAATAATAAGACTAATTTTCAAGAGTTAGTTTGTAACGATTAGATTTGTTTTTACGGTTTTGACCCTGTACTGATATCAGTTAGAGAAGCACCGTTGAGAGCCAGGACTGTAGCACTGGACAGCTGTTTCAGCCTAGTTTTAGGAATCATCAACAGTACGCACATACTGTCAGGGTTAAAACCCAGGACCTTCCGGTTACAAGGCAAGCTCGCCTTACCAGTATTCCTTGTTGATTTTCAATTGTTCTCTAATTGACATTAGTCGGTGATCAAACTCGTAAAAACATGACTAATCCTTGCGAACCAACTGTAGAAAATTAATCTGATGCTCCCTAGGGTCTGACTGGCTGAATTGCTTACGAGCTCGCCTTGTAAACAGACAGTCGTGGGTTCGAACCCTGGATTGTGGGTACGTACTGATTAACAGACCCAAAGTAGGCTGACGAAACAGCTGTCGAGTACTTCCTGTTGGTTATTCGATGGTTCGCTAAAAGATGATGTCAGCTCATGATGAAACCCTCCAACCAATCAAACACAATCACTACAAAACGAATACTAGAAAATTAATTAACTGATGCTTACTAGCTACTGGCCCTAAACAGGTAGGTAGCTACCGGAAGTTCAAGTGGGAAGTCGTGACAAGTAGGTTACAGCAGGTTGAAGATGAGGCAGTCACTCATCGAAGAAAACAGTGTGAAGTGATCGCACTATGTCTTGGATTGGCAGAAGTTAGAATTCATGGGCTCACCATTGGATCGGTGGTTTAATTGTCTACGAGCTCGTTAGCCTTGTAACCAGAAGGTTATGGTTTCAAACCGTAGCCGGGGTACGTACTGCCGATGATTCCTAAACTAGGTTGACGAAACGGCTATCCAGTACTCTAGTGCTGGTTTTCCAATGGTTCTCTAACTGATATCAATCCGTGGTCAAACTTTTAAAAATAATGAGTATGATTTAACTAAAGCTGATCGGAAGTTGAACACGCATTTTAAAATTACCTACACGAAAACCACCAAACAAAACAATAGTTACCTTTTTGTCTTTTGAAAAGTTTATAAGTTTGTAGGGATTTGATTTGTTTTAAGTTTGGCCACGCAGTGATATCAGAGAACCATTGGGAATCCGAGTCAGCCGATCGACAGAGAGGAGAAATACTCACTGATGATAATGATTCGTCATCGCAGTTACACCGCGAATAGGGTATAAGTTGAAAACCATAGACAATTCAGCTTTGCTTGCAATCAAAAGGTCCTGGGCTGGACCTTTGAGGTGTGAGTGCTGCTGAGGAGTCTCAAAATAGGACGAAATAGCTTTCCTGTACTCCTTGCTGGTTTTCGGTGTTTCTCTAACTGATATCAATCCATGATCAAACTTGGAACTCTTCATCTCTTACAAGCATTATTCGTTACGTAAACTCTTACATTGTTGGAGGCAATCGATAAGAAGCCTTCCGCCTGGTTTGCGCGCTCGTTGGCACTTGTCAGCAAGTTGTCTCTGCAATCCTGAAGGAACTCATACGTTGTATAAGATTTGAACCCAGGTCACCAAGTGTTCCAGTCATTGAGCCACTCGTGCCCACGATTGACCTCCTGTAAGACTGTGATGGGTTCTCTAACCAGTCACTAGTTAGTACTCAGTTCCGTCCTTCTGATCCTTTGCATTGTTGTAGGTAGACTCGGGTTTGAATCTCAGAAGGGACATGAGTTCCTTCAAGGTTTCAGATGCGCCTAACTAACTGGTGAGTGGCAGCTAGCATGAGAGCTAGGTAAAAGTCTTCCTACCGATCGCCTCCAACCAACTGATAACAGCTTTCCAGAGTGCGCCATGGTATCAAGCCATCACATTGCAAACTTGCCTGATAAAATTCAGTCTGCACCAGAAGAAAGACTAAGACCATGACATCAGTTAATGTGTAACGACAGAAGACAAGGGCCAAGCAACAGATAATTTATTGAGAAAATCAAGAGGTATTTATAGATTTTTGTGTGCATTATTGTCATTGGAGAAGCTACGTCTTCTGATTGGTTGTCTTTGTGCTAAAAAGGTTGTGACCGTTTCTTAGAAAGTTAAGCCAAATCTCTGCGAACCATATTTGCTTACGTTAAGTCTGCTGTGATTGGTTGTTAAGTTCCTCAAGTTAAGCTTTGTAAATGTTTTTTCGCATGACCTCGATTTGAGACGTAAACATTAACGTAAATTGCTGTTGACAATTTTTGGCTTTCAGACAGCTCTCACCACAAATGTTTACGACAGTAATGGATGTCAGAGTATGCAGGGCATAAAATTCGCAAAACAACAACCTACAATAATCTTAGTAGAAAGCCAGTTTCCAGCTATATAAATCTTTGGTATAACTGTGGGAAAATGCCGGTGAAGTGAACCTTTTTACAATATCGCGAAAAAAATTCATCCAGACAAAGTCATCAACCTACTGGTCTGTACATTAGTGTTTTTAATATTATAAATGGATGAACTATTTTCAGAACTATTTCCGGTCAGCAGTTAAGCAACAAGATTACAAATAGAGATTAAAGCTTAATAATGACAGAATAAACAGGAAGATAGAAGAATAACATAAATGGGGATTAGAATTATTGAGAAAATTGACTTCTTTTTGTCCGATTAGGGATTAAAAATGTAGAAATAACAAAATAGACAAGAAGTTTGGATAAAAAACACGGTGGTGTAAATAGTGATACAAAAAGAAAGGGAAAAATTACAGAAATAAACGGGAAGATTGGGTAAGAAAAGTAATAGGATAGTTATTATTGGTGGGACTGTCTTTCTTTGGTAGCCATGATAGAGACAGAGATTGAATGCCTAGAGTGTGGGTGCTGAACTTTTGGATCGCTTGTGCCTAATTTATCGCTAGATGTCTTGATTTCACTGTCTTTGAGAGGTTTGAATAGATCTTGTGTTGGGATTTGAAAGACTTTTTCAAATGCATTTGGGTGTCTTGAGTTCAATAGATGTTCTCTCTTTCCTAGTCAGTCTGGATAATATTGATGAACTTGTCGAGAAGAGAATTTCGTTCTCTCAAACCGCCTTCTTTTGAAATTTTTCCAAGGACATGCATCTGTTGACTTATATTAGAGAATATATTAACAGTGTGACTAACAAAAGCCTCAATATTTTATACACGAACTCTACTTTATAGATTTGAACAGAGATGGAACGAACATTGGTGAAGAATAAACATGGATCGATTTCATTCTGCACTCATGTTTGTTCCATGTCCGTTCAAACTTTAATATTATGTATGAGCAATAATTAATATGCAGTGATCATTCAAATATGAGTATGATCAAAACTGCCGATTACAAATTTGTCTTTCATGAACAATGAATATTCTCTTCGATAAACTCTTCTTCATCAGGTTCTACATTTATAGTGACTGTAATATTCAAAGAATTCTCGTTATTAACAACATTCATGTTCTTTATGAATTATATTGAATCAATAACAGTGACAGATCACAGTTCAAAAGCATCAGTAAGACAGAATTTACAGCTTAGAGAGCAGGTCAGGGTAGTGATAGTGGCTGACTGCCCTGTTTCTTTTTCACTCAAAACTCCAGTTGATTTAAGCGGATTGCACCTTATAGTTTCTCTGCAACAGGTTGTGAAGTACCCAGACTAGCCACGTCTAGTGGTATCTGTCAATCTACCAACTGGTCCTATGGAGCCCGGTTATACTGGCCACCGCTCAAGGAATCTTATTTATCATCCTGTGGGACACCAACCAGTAAGGTTAAATAAAGGTGTTGTCAAAACCACTAGCAGTTCTATATTGCATCACCTCCTCCAAACAAGCTACGAAGTTACCACCATTGAAGAAGAGGCTTTCTCTATCATCTACCTGGTATCAAATAAATTACCAGAGGCTTCTAGATATCGAACACTTTATAAAGAAGAGGTCATTGCAATTCACTTAGATCAACAAGAGCTCTGTGTATGCAAAAGAAGCAGGTCCAGCCGGTCACTATTGTTACCCTGGTCTGCTCTCGAACCTATAAATGCATAAATTCTTTGTTACCCCCCTTAATTCATCTGATATTCAACGAGTTCAGTGTTTTATTGATGCATATCATCTCTCTTTCTCTTAATGATGCTTTTGAACTGTAATCTATCACTGTTATTGATTTAATGTAAATCAAAATGAACATCAATGTTGTTAATAATGAGAATTGCTTATTTATTAGTGTCATATAAACGTAGAACCTGATGTAGAAGAAATAATAAAGAAGAATATTCTCTGTTCATTAATCAGTCTTTTAAATTCTTTATGGACATTTTTTCATCAATGAACTACAATTTTGTCATTAGTGTAGTAGTTTGGTTTGTAAGGATAAGTTTTGTTTTTAGGAGTTGATCACGGATTGATATCAGTAAGAGAACCATTGAAAACCACTAGAAAGTACTGGACAGCTGTTTCATCCTAGTTTGGAGATCTTTGGCAGTACGCATCCACAGTCCGGAGGTTCGAA